TTAAAAATAACAATAAGCCCACAACATGTTAATATAAACAAAATAATTTTTAATTTAAAAAAACTGTCTTTCAAAATAAAGAAAAAGTTAATGAAAGTCAGGCACAATGGCACATGCCTGTTACTGTTACAGTTCCAACTCCTCCAGAAGCTAAGGCAGGAGGATCCACGAAGCTGAGTTTCTAGGCAGGCCAGTCTGGGCAACAGAGCAAGAGCTCATCAAAATAAATAAGTAAAAGTGAGGGAGGGAAGAAAGATACTATTTTACATTTCTGTAAATCTCTTCAATATATGGCTATTTCTCATATCTGCTACTATACCGAATGTGAGATATCACACATTTTGTAGCCTCAGAAAATTCCACTAGACCTGTGTGAGAGAATAAGAGTAAGAAAGGCAAATTAACATCTTAGCATTATTATGAAAACAGTTTTAACCTCACAGGTGCCCCACAAATCTTGACAATTGTTGATATCATGTAGCTGAATTATCTTCATTCAGTTCTGATAAGATAAACTACAACTTTCAAGAAAATTTTCTGGATCATACAGTTATTTAAGTGTATTTTTAGAGTCATGCTAAATAGACTATTTTGATTCCTTAATTTTCTTTATATCTGTTGGGCCTTTCCCTATAATTTTTGGATATGCATCTTAACTTCATTAAATCCTTTCTTAAGTTAATTACCAATTTATTATAAACTCAGTATTTAGTAGCTCTATTTTTATTTTAGTTTTCTAATTCATTAAATTCTGTTTATTATCTTTACTAGTTGCTTTCTTCACCTATTCTTAGATATCCTTTGTTATTCTTTTTCTTCTTGATTRGACTACTTAGTTGACTTAGTTCATACTTTCTCATAAACATAAATATTTCAAAGTTACAAATTGTCCTGTAAGCTAAACAGTCTTCAACTGTGTTCTAACTTTGCTATTAATTTCAAGCTTCAGTGATTCTACTTCCCCCGTCATCACTCTCTTTCTTTCCCCTTTGCAATGTAAGTCTCTAAAAAAAAGTTGTCTGTCCTTGCTATCTCTAATTCCTAGCTTTCTATTCTCTCATAATTATATCCACTCCTATCACAGGCCTCCCTAMCACCATCTTCCCATAGCTATATCAATTCTTATTCCTCCTCTTATCTGACTTATCAGCATAATTTGGCAAAGTTAACGCATCAAAATTTGATTTTTTTCATGTCTAGTACAAATTCAGATTCATTATTCTCCATAATGACATCCATCTGATAGCACTGTTCACCTTCTATCATTACCTTCTATCTACATTACCACATTTGTCATAAATACCATAGAYGTGTGGATGTGTTTCTGGACTCCAAAAAGTGCCATTATTCCCATTTGTCAATCCTTTAACTAATATCATCCTAATTTAGTTATTATATGCTATAATAAATTTTGATATCCAGGAGAAGCAAATCCTATAATAGCTCTTTTTCCTGATTGTCTGAGTTATTCTTGACTTTTTCAATCTTACATATAAGTTTTAGAATCAGCTTGTTGATTCCATTAGGAAAAAAATAGTGAGTTTTATTATTATTTCACTACACCTATACACAGGTCAATTTGAGAAAAACTGACATTTCTATTTAGTYTTCTGAATCATGAACAATGGTATATGTCTCTATTTTGGTCAACTTAATTTTCCTCTATAATGTCTTATAGTTTCCTATAAAGTTGTACCAAATTACACTGATTGACTTTTCAATATTAAACCAACCTTATAATCCTAGAAAACACAAATTGGGTCAAAATATGTTAGTCTTCTAATATACTACAGATTTAATTCAATTATGTTATGCATATCCATGAGTGATTTGGCTGCAATTTTCTGTTCTTGTTGTATCCACATCAGTTAGTTAATATAAAGACCTTGCTGGCCTTACATAATAATTATGAAGTATGTCTTTTTCTTTCTACTCTGTAGAAGTTTGTGGATAAAATTTTAGTTTGACAGTTATTTAGTTTTTCTAGCACAGCAGAGCTATCTTTCCTTTGTCTTTTAGCATTTCAGTTCTTTTGTAAATGAACTACCTTGCCTCAGCCCTGCCCCACCAACACATCTGTGTGGCCACCATCACCACCTAGGATGCAGAGGATGAAGTTACCTCTGAAATCAATACACCCTATACACTGTGGCTCAAGTAAGAGGACCCCAAGAAAAAAAGAAAATGAAACAATCTGCTTCTGACAATCTCATAACCACTCTTTTGAAGGTGACTTTTTTCTCTCTCACAACTTTAATATTTTCTTTTTGACTTCAGTATTTACAGTTATACTATGTAACAGTATACAATATGTAATGTGGRTTTCTTTTAATGTTTCTCTTTTTGAGATTTATAGTGCTTCTTAAATCTATGCCTTAATGTATTGTTGTTGTTGTTGTTTTGGTACCAGGGATTGAACCCAGGGGCACTAAACCACTGAGCCACATTTCCAGCTCTTTTTATATTTTATTTTGAGACTGGGTCTTGCTAAATTGCTTAGGGCCTTACTAAGTTGCTGAGGCTGGCTTTGAATTTATGATCCGYCTATCTCAGCCTCCTGAACCAATGGGTTTACAGGCATGCGCCACCTCAGTCTGTAAGTTTATGCCTTACTGTCTTTTATCACTTTGTAAAGACTTCTCAGCCATTGTCTCCTCAAAGACTACTTCTGTGAGATTATCTCTTCTCCTTATAGAACCTAAGTTACTTTATCAACAAATTTTGTGCCAGATTAAAGAAGGAAGATTTAAAAACTTTCAACTGTATTCCCTTTGGTAACTGTGGCCTACATCCTCTCTCCATTAGTCTGAGCAAGCTGTGTGACATGGCTGATCAAGAAAATACAGAAACATAATGCTTTGCAGGGTCCAGGCCCAGACCTTCAGAAACAAATTTCCTACACTTCCTTTCTCTTGAAATACTTTCTCTGGGAAAAGGCAGCTCCCATGTAAGAAGTCTAATTATAGTTAAGCATGGTGTTGCAAGCCTTTAATCCTAGCTACTTGGAAGGCTTAGACAGGAGCTCACTAGTTCAAAGCCAGCCTGGCCAACTTGGTGAGACCCTGTCTCAAAATAAAATTTAAACAAGGACTGGGGCTGCAGCTCACTGGTAGAGCACTTGCCTATTGTATGTGAGGCCCTGGGTTCAACCCCTAGTACCGGGCAAAAAGAAGTCCAACTACCCTGAGATTGCCATTTATGGAAAGAGAAATGCTGGTCAGCCCCAGGAATTCCAGCCTTCTTGGTGCTGACACCAGACCTAAGAGTGCAGAAACCATGCTGAGGTTCCAGCCCCAGGATATGACATGAAGAGAACCATGGCCCCAGGCATATGGACGCAGTATCGGCATTCCAGCCATTCCGAATTAAAGAGCAAGAAGTCATCCAGCAAAGGTAAGTCAAATAAGATAGATTTGAGTGAATTCCTGATTCTTGGAGTCATAYGCATAAAAAAAGGTGATTGTTTTATGACAATAAGTTTTGGAGGCATTTATTACTAGTGGAAGAAGTAATCCTTCACCAAGGTCCCAAGTGTCCATGCACATTCTTAAGAGATGTGCCAAGAATACAAAGTCCTAATGAATATTTAGCCTGGGCYATTTCTCACGATTGTGTTTGAGGCTAGCAACCTCGAAGGACAAGTAAGTTTCTTTCCCTCATTAAGCAGAAAGTATTAGTCATGGATCAACTATAATCTGACTGAGATAGTTCAAAGCTGGCATTTATTTCTAGTGTGTGGGTAGCACTTTGGGGTTCCAACCTAAGCATGAAGGGTTTACCAGTACCTAACCACCCCATAACCTTGGTGGGCTTTATATACTTGTTTTTGCTTCTCTAGCCTTAAGTGTCCATCGAAAGCTCTGTAGTGCTTCTTATCAACCTTTCTCAGAATCAGCACATGCTACTCAAGGAAAGAGTGGTCTGAAAAGCCAGACTCATCTTTCTGCCTTATTATTAATATTTAGACACACTGAATACATGTCTTTCATATTTTATCCAGTTTTTCTCATTTTTTCAGTTAGGGTGTTAATCCAAATTACTTTACCCAACATGACCAAAAGTGGAACTCCTCCAGAAACAGATTTAATGTACTTAATATTGAAGGGGTTTAGAAGTTCTGTTTTTCCCTTTTCCTACATTATAGGATAGACCCACGCAGAATTTTTGCTTCTAAAATATGCATTTTACCAAGATGTTTGAAGGTGATGTGCATTTTCACATAAAATGGTAACACCTTGTTAAACTACTGAAATACCTTTATAAAATATCATTCATATAACAACATTATTTAGAGTAGTAGAGACAAATCAGTTGTAATAAAAATGACTTCTTAAAAAACATTTTAAAAGAAATGAATATCCGAAAGTAATTTCACAGTTAAATTATAAAAGAAAAACTAAAACAAAAGTGTCTATATTTTTGTGTGTGTATATATATATATATATATGTATATGTCACTATATATATATATATATATATATATATATATAGTGAGTGTGTGTGTGTGTGTGTGTGTGTGTGTGTGTGTATGTGTGTGTGGTGCTAGGGATTGAACCCAGGGCCTTGTGCATGTGAGGCAAGCACTCTACCACTTGAGCTATATATCCCCAGCCCTAAAACAGTGTTAATATTTTAATACCCCCTTTTCTTTTTTTTTAATATTTTACTTTTTAGTTGTAGTTGGACACAATACCTTTATTTTATTTATTTTTATGTGGTATAGAGGATCAAACCCAGGATCTCSCACATGCTAGGCGAGCACTGTATCACTGAGCTACAACCCCAGCCCCTAATACCCCCTTTTCCAATTAGCAAATGTTAAGCATTTGTTAACATCCAGAAATATAGTGTCACTTATGACTTAAATGCTTTTAAAAATTCCAAACACAAAATAATTTTTGTTTTTTGTATTATTTCCACTTGGAAAACCACATAATATTATGAAAACCTAAATTAGTTTTGAAAGTTTAAAAGAAACATTTGTGACTGCCAACACTTACAGTGAAAAATACGAAAATCAATATATGGATGAGAACCTCTTCTTTCTGATTCAAATCCTGCTCGGCTCCTTACTCGTACATCTCCTGGATAGAATTAAGAGCAGAAGTAAGTTTAGAAGGCTGTCATTTGTGAAGAAGCTCCCACATGCAAAAAGAGGCCCATATGGCATCACATCCATAAGAAGTATCCCATTAATGATACATATGGAGCAAGAAGTTAAGAGCTGATTTATTTGAAGGAGTTCACAAATTTTCAGCACCAAGTTTTAAGTCTGGATAAGGAAATTTTTTTTTAGAGTACCCCTACACTAATAATAGTTCTTATAATCTATATTTTAAAGTTAGTTTTCTGAAAGATGACTCAGGTGCATGATAATCCAATCTAATACCTTGCTACTCATGTGAAGTTTACAAAAAAAAAAAAAAAAAAAAGCCACTGGGAAACCAAATCTATTTTACAGGAGACAGAAAATCTTCAGAACAAACTTTTAAAAGTCACTCTATGTCTCACACCATATCATGGGCTATAAGGGATATGAAAAATAGAAAATACATTACCTATTCTCAAGCAATTTCCAATTTCACAAATGTGCAATAAATTATAATGTTACTATACTTTCCTCTATGTATTTGATCTGATCAATCTTCTTTTTCTCTTCTCATAATCAGTTTCMACCCAAGGTCTTTAGCTGGTTCTTAAATTTTGGTGTTTACAAGCTCAGTATTGTTCCTACATGTACTCATGTGATTTTTGGACAGACCCATTTCTCTATACAGAAACATTTATATCCCAACCATACACAAGGCCCTCTTTTTGTCTTACAGACATTGCTTTATTTAGTTCCCTAGTCAAAGAGCCAAAGGAATCTTCATCCACATTTTACAGATGCAGAAACTGGACTTTGAGAAGTTAAATAGCAATGTTCCCTTCCACAAAGTTAATGTAAACAGTGAGTGAAGATTTAAACCTAGCCCTGTGGGTTCCAAAGACAGCAGTCTTCCCATTACATTTTTACAACCTTCAATCTCCTAACCCCAAGTCTTCAGTCCCATCTCCTGTGCTCTTGCAATTTTGTTACCCTTTGTTTCTCTATGTAAGAACATCACTTACTTACTTCCAGGTTCATTCCATCTACCGAAACTCCAACTCATAAGATCTAATCACCCCTTTCTTGTGTGACAAAAAAGTGCTCCTCACATCTGGCACTCCACATATATTAGTAAGCAAAATATAGAAATTCCCTGTCCTCATGAACTTTATCTTATGGGATAAAACAAATAATAAAGCAAATACACAATTTCATTCTATGGAAGACTTTACATGGAGAACACTAAAGAGAAATGGTGGGGAGGGCAGTGATTCAAACATGTGAAGGGAAGTCCCCATTGAAAACAAGCAGGGACGTGAGGGAAGTAAGACAGTGCACCACAAGACTATCAGAAGTGAGAGGTTTCAGAGAATAAGGAAAAGTAAGTATAAGCACTCTGTCAGGAGAGAGGTAAGTGAGGGAACTCCTGGGAGGTGAGGTCAGAGAGGCAGTAGGACCAGATCACACTGGGCCTTTGTGGTCATTGTAATAGCTGTGGCTGGTTCTCTCAGAAAACCATCGGAGGATCCTGAACAGAAGAGTAAGATGACTTAGCTTTGTCTGAAAAGGTTTTCTGGCTGCAGACTAGAATACAGTGGAGGCACACGGTTGAATGTAGGAAGGCCAGTCAAGGAACAAGTTCAAGAGATGAGGCAACAACCATGGTTTAGATTGGGCTGGTAACAATACTGGGGTGGTGAGATTCTRCATGTATTTTGCAGGTGTCTGACCAGAGGATTTGCTCATAAATTAGATGTGGAGTATGTAAGAAAGAGAAATAAAAAATGACTCTTAAGTTTTTGACTTGACAATGGGGAGAATGGGGTTTTATTTACTGAGATGGCAAAAGACCACCAAACAGACCTGTGGAACACAAAATCAATTTGCAGATGCRTTAAGCATGAGGTATTCATAACATACCCATGTGGAGATGGTCCATAAAATTAAAGAAAATGTGAGTCTGAAACTCTGCTTTAAAGATAGGAGAATCCTAAACATGTTTCTAGAAGTGGAGATAGTAAAGAGGAAAAAGCTGATCATTCATGAGGAAAAAAGTATATTCTAAAGGAGAACAGAATTTGTTTTGGTGGTGCTGGGGATTGAACCCAGGACCTTGTTCATGCTAGACAAATGCTCTACTACAGAGCTATACCCTAGCCCTTAGAACAGAATTGAGGCAGGTGAGATGCACAAGATAAATTAAAGAGGAGAAAAAAGGAATAAGAGGTCCTTGGGGAATATTTGGTCTGAAGAGTATGAAAAGCAATTTGTGAAGGAAGCAAAGAACAAACAGGTTGCTAAAAAATAAGGATGGCTCAGTGCTCAGTATCTTAAAGTTAGGGAGGAATTCTGAGATGAGAAGAGGCACAGGAAGATTCCTCTAACAAAAAATGAGAAAATTTGCCTATTGGGACCTGAATATACATATTCGATAGTATGAATTAAAAAGAAGGGATTATGGAGTGTAWGAATGAAGCGAAGTAATTTACCTATGAAATTGAGTAATACATCAAAAATTTAAGCACTAGGACTAAAAAGAAGACAAATGGTTTTTCTTGCCAGACAACTGAAAACAAAACACTTCCAGCAACAGGACTATCTGATCAGGTATTTCATGGCCTCGTCTTCATCCATGTTGGCAATCATCTCTTTAGTATGAAGCAACCCTATAATACTACTTTTCATGAAGAATGCTTTCCTTTATTCATATCACATTCAATATTGGCTTCCAGATTCTAAACTTCAGTGAAATTAATAATTTCTGCTATAACCAGTGATGAAAGCTACCTAATGAAAGATACCTCTACCTCAAATAACATGATAATTTAACTAACATTGATACAAAATAAATTAGTGCTTACCTAGCATACGAATGTACAGTGCAGTCTGATCAGAACTGTCATAAGAAATAGCTCCACGCCTCTAGAGGGAAAAAAAAAAGCATATATTTTAATACACAACAATGAATTGTGATCTAAAACACAATTAAGCAAACATGCATTTATTATTTGTGAAACACTGTGCAAGAGAAGTTGATAATACAAAAGGAAATTAGATATGGAATCTGCTCTGGAATTCTCTAGTTAGGGGAAAGACAAACAATACAATATAACTAAGAACTACCATAAAAGTAGGTACAAAGTGAAAACTATTTGGGACTAACATGCAGGAAATATGAAATGGAAAAGGAAGGAGAAAAGCAATCTGCTGCTTTTCCAGCTCCTTCTCTTGGCCCCCAGTCCTCTCTTCACATAGAATCAAGAGGGAACATTTCAGCTCCTGCTCCGTAACCTCCAATGGCTCCCCATCACACTTAGAGTAAGTTCTAAACTCTAGGTTCTGATTTCCAGAGCCTTTAGTATTCTGCACAAGTCTCTGTCCTCTTGTTAGCCCCCTCCCTCACCACTGTGATGTGGCCATGCTGGCCTTCCTGGCTCTTCTCAACTTTTCTCAAATGTCTCACCTTTGCACTTGACCTGTTCCTCTATCCTGGTGCACTGCAATCACTGTCCCTGTGTCTCTCGTGGCTTAGATGAATGTCATCTCTTCAGATGGGCATACCCTGACTACCAAATCTAAAGCTCCCTGAAAGCCAGCCTGTTCCACAGCTCCTTTCCTCAGTCCTCTGTGTGGCACTTAGCTTATGTTATCCTGGCTGCTTGTTACTAAAAGAGAAGCTCCACAAAAGTAAGAGCCTTCTCTGTCTTACTCCCCAAGAATACCTTTTACCCTAAAGCAGAACCTATCATTTAAAAGCAGAACTCTAAATAAATACATGATACATAAATTAATAATGTGTTTTTTGTAAATAAATGAATAATTTATAAATAAATTGATGAATAAATTAACAATAGGATCAATATAAATGCATACATTTTAAAAGTCTGGAAGATACATTGGACCAAATTTCCTATTAAAAATCTAAGCTCTGTGGAGGCAAGAACTTTGTTCATTTCTGTATCCAGATACAGAACAAATCCCAATATTCAGCACAGTGCCTAGCACACCAAAAGTAATCCATAAATTAACAGACCTAAAAATTCTTAAAAAGCAGCAATAAATGAAACCAGCACTATGCAATATTAATATAAAAAGTGGTATGACACTGCAAAGAAATGGGGGAAATAGTCAATAGAAAAAACATAAACAAATCGTATTGTGATTTTGTATATTTTAAATATAAGATTTAGGGGCTAGGGTTGTGGCTCAGTGGTACAGCACTTGCCTCACACATGTGAGCCCTGGGTTCGATCCTCAGCACCACATAAAAATAAATAAAGGTATTGTGTCCATCTGCAACTAAAATTATTAATAAGTAAATAAATAAATACAAGATTTAAAATATGTGAAGAAAATACTAAACATTTAATAAATAACAAACCATTAAACCAAAAGAAAAGATGTTCAACCTTATTAACAAAAGAAATACATATTAAAGCCATAAGATCACATTTTGATTTATAAGATGAATGATATTCTTCCCTCAGAAAAAAACTCCAGCACAGTCAGGGGCAGTGATGCACAACTGTGATCCCAGCAGCTGGGGAGGCTAAGGCAGAAGGATCGCAAGTTGGAAACCAGCCTCAGGAGCTTAGCRAGACTCTGTCTCAAAATGAAAAAATAAAAAGGGCTGGGCATGTGGCTCAGTGGTTGAGCCTCCTAGGTTCAATACCTGGTACCAAAAAAAAAGAAACAAATTCCAGCATGCAATTTACAGTCCCTAACTGTATGTCTACAAATGTCAAAGGGGAAAAAAATCAAGTTTACTCTATTTGAAGTTCTCACTTAAATCTAGTATGCAAAACAACTCCCCAAAACTTTAAGTTATATCCTTGAAACAGAACATTTCAATTAAACCTTTACATGGTTTCATGGAAAAGAAAAACAGTGCATGAAATGTAAGAGAAACAAACATTTCAAACAAAAATAAAATTCCAACAATCAAAACCAATATTCTCCAAGGATACTAAGGGATAGAGAGGTAAGAGGAAGACTTTCTAATGTATATATCTTTGTACCTTTTGAATTTTGTAGCACACACAGTTCTTACATATTCACAAAACAGATGAATTTTAAAGTTAAAATCACCTACAAGAAAAAAGCATGACCTCAAATCCCAAGGGACTAAGTCATACAGAATATACCCCTGACATCATGCTTGACACATCTCCCAACAAGGGACTAGCTAATGAAGACACTRCACTATTTCATGGGAAACTGTATATTCCAGAGTGTACAGCCACTAACATCACTTGATGCTAAAAGGAGCCACTCCTGACTGCTGTTCCAATCCCTTTCATGAGATATTTAGTTCATTACATTATGGGCCTTCCCTAAATACTGTTATAATAGGGGGTAAGTCTAACATCCTGAACAGGGCATATATGGAAAAAAATATTTCTATCAATTCAAACATATTATGGAAACTACAGATATCATTATATAATAGTTTGTCATGATCAGTACCTATCAATCTGGTAATGTCCAGTGACAATAGCCTGTGAAAACAAATTTTAGGCTGTTATCTCTAATAGTCTTCTTAATATAGGAAGGGTATTTCCTAAAATAACCACTAATTAGGAAGGCAAACTCTCATTTATTACTTCACATATTGAGAACAATGAAAAAAACTGACAGCATTTCTCTATAAAATAGAACAGCATTCTACCAAAAACCAACTAATGAACATAAATAATCTAGATTATCATTTATCTGTGGCATACTAAATTTATTTTAAGGTAAATGATTTTAGACTCATATAATCACTAATTTAGATATTAAGATGCTAAGACCTATATTAATCTTAGCAAAAGCTTGGCAATGAAAGAGGAATTTAATTTTTAGTATATATTAACAAATTGCTTAGGGATGTGCAAATATTCAAGTTATTYAGTTAATGATAAAATACTAACTTAAGACAGGTCAACAAATACTTAGCTTAAAAGGTATACTGAGGTACATAACAGTTTTTACTAMATGAATCCAAATGAGACTAAAAAAAAAAATGTTTTTAAAAGAACAGACTTTGAAAATAGGTATGTAAGGGCCAAGGATGCAGCTCAGTGGTAGAACACATGCTTAGCATCCACAAGGCCACTGTGTTCAATCCCCAGCACTGTGTGTGCACGTATAAACACACAGACACACAGACACACAGACACACACACACACACCCCTATCAACAAATACAATCTGAGTGATAAATCATGCACTAATGTTCTTTTTCAAGCAAGATTTTAATCCCTGGTGTGTAAGATTCACACTTAAGCACAACACTTTGAGCATGCTTGTTTCGTACATCCAAGCATCCTCTTTTCTTAATGAATATGACTGAGAAGTTAAGATGAATATTATTAAGTTATCTTGCTAAGTGATCTAAAATAATCCATTTTGGAAAAATATACTATAAATTATGAAATGGAACAATAAAATTTTACTTCCATGTTAGAATCACATTGCTTTAAAAAATTATATGTGTTCTATACACCAAGACTGTTGTACAAAYTTAACATACATTTCTTTAAAGATGGTCAYTGATCCATAACAGGGAGAGGGGAGGCATGGGAAAAATGGAAAAACTTTGATTGGGCAAAGGGGAGCGAGGGTAGGGAGGGTGCATGGGGACACGAAAGATGGTAGAATGAGATGAACATCATTACCCTCGGTACATGTATGACTGCACATATGGTGTGACGCTCCATCATGTACAACCATAGAAATGTAAAGTTGTGTTGCAATTGTGTACAAGGAATCAAAATGCATTCTGCTGTCATTAAAAAAAAATCAGTAGGATGGTCTTGCTCTGAAGCCTTAAATTGGTTAAATCTTTTTAATTGAAATGAAATGAACAAAAAGCTGTCAGAAATGCTGATAATATGTGGTCAAATACTGTGTTTAAAAGGCAAAATACAATTTTTAATACCAAAAAAATGTATACTAGCAAACTTTTACTCTTAATAAAAATAGTAAAACAAATTTCATCAAAATCCTATGTCACACATCAGTCACAAAGCACTCTGGGCTACCATCCACATTCCCACCTCACCTCACCAGTGAATGGAAATAACTGAGGCTTCTACTCGTGACTCTTCTAATTTAGCCATTCTGGGAACAGCTTGTAAAGCAAACTAGTATAGGTCAAAGCATGGGCGAGGCTGAGCTAATCAGAAACTGACAGCCACAGCATAAACAAGTTAAACGTTAAGGTTCCGAAGGGTTCACTGCCATGTTCATAGGCGTTCTGCGGGCTCTGGTAAGACACTAGATCACCTTGAAACAGGGTGAACCATTCTTTCATAAAGATTTGATTTGAAGGTAAATGAGAAAAGGAGTTAAAATTGTTCCCAGTATTCATTAATACATAACTTTTACAGACAGATGTTTTAAAACCCAGCAAAGACATTTAAAGTGACATTGTATTTACTTTGTTCAGTTTTCCACTATATGATCTAGCTCACAAAAGCAAGTGTATTTTCTTACATGGTAAAAGTAACAACAGAAAATGATGCTGGTGCTTTCATACAATATCGCATTTAATTCTCACAGGAACTTTATAAGGTGGGCTTTATTAGTCCCATTTTGCAGATTAGTAAACTAATGGCTACAAGGCTTAAACACAGTAGCACTAAATAAAATGCTTGGTAACAATACCAAAAGACAGTATCACACAAGCAATAGATGAAGCACAGCCAAAATTCTAAAACCAGTTTTCTCTGATAAGGCAAAATGAGCATTTTCAGAATATACTAATCTTACATGTACTAGAAAAAAACATTGTAGTTTGAATGCCCAAAGAATTCAAATATTGCATTGATTCACTTCCTATTCTTTTTTWAAAAAAATAAAATATTAGCATTCTTCTACATTTTTGGTGATGCATTAAAAAGTACAGACTTCAAAAACATCCATAATTCACCTAATGCATTATTAACATGAAATTGACCTTCCTTGTATAACCTGGCAAGCTAATCCTTTAAAAACAAGTAAATAACTGTCAATGCAATAAAATTCATGTTTAACTTTTAATACACCAGAATTTTTAATTTGAGTATACTATGCTTCAATCATATTCACTAAGAAAAGAAGACCACTCCAAGTAAGAAACACACTTAAAATGTTTTTGCTTAGATGTGAATATTACACAGCAGGGATTAAAGTCTTGCTTAAAAAAGAAAATTAACTTTATAAAAGCTCTATGTTGCTCAGCAAAGTGTTACTCAGCAAATAGTGATAGCTTTTTAAATTTTATGTTAATACTTTTCAATTTCTTAATACAGAAAGAAAAAAGTGGCATAATGGATGAAAGATATAATCTTTTTAGAAGTAAAGCAAAAATAATTTCAAATAGTATAATCTTAAATATTTTCTTATTTTTTATTCTTGTCTAAATAATAACAAGCTAGCTAACATTTCATCAAGAATTTCTGCAGCCTGATGTTCAGAATTCAACTTCAAAAACAGTTACTCTTCTGTCAATATATTATAGCTAAGGCATACGTTTTAACAGCAGAAAGACCTTTAAGAGAATATGACAGAGGGTGAGTTCAGTTTTTAAAATTCTTATTTTTGTTTAGAAATCCTCAATAATTATATGTTGAATAGTCAAATATCAGTAACATTCTCCAAAAAAATGTTTAAAATATGTATAGACAAAAGCCTAAATTATTCTATTTTATAAACTTAAAGTTGAACTTCTTTTATCATAAAAACTTCTTTAAGGGAATGAAACTGAAGAAAGCTACTTTGATACTCAGGAATAACACCGTTTAAAAAAAACTTGAAGAGGAATAAAGTGAGGTAAGAATAAAATTTGCAAACAGTAATTTTAAGCCTTTTGCAGAAAAAACTCTGGCTCTCTTAATCACAGAAATAGAAACTGAGGCAAAAGGAGAAGAAAATTACCTATTTTATTCCTATCAAATATGCACATTAATGGTTGATATCACAATCCTAAGAGTGAAGATGGCCTACCTTAGAAGTGATCCACTTTATAAGAACCAAGGCCAGACACCAGATCAATGTAATTCCCATTGAATYAATCAAAAGCCCGCTGCATAATCTCTCTCTCTCCTTTACCAGTGAGCAATGAGCAAGGAAGACTTCTCAGGAGTCTGATAAACAACCAGCTGTCCYGAGGCAGAAGAGAGGGACACTAACTGCCTTGAACCTCAAGCAGCTGCCTTCCAASAGTAAGCACCTGACTTTTGAGAATGCACTGCCCAGCCAGGCTTCTTATCCATGGCATGCTTAATGCCACAACCCCAGTGCTAGAGTAGAACAGCTTAAGTAATGCTGGAAGAGGGGGGAAAACCCTAGCTGACCTAACAATCTCCCAAAATATAGACAGAAGGGATCTCAGGCTAGCCCCAAACACTCCTACAATCTTAATGCTAAAAGAATGTCTTGAAACAATTTTCAAAAAATACTTTGCAGGACTAAAAATTTCCTCATTCTTTCCACATAGGCCAGTTTCACAGACATAATCCTTGCATTTGAAGATATTAATGTATTTTACTCTTTTCAACTTCTAACATTGAATTTCTTCAACTTTTTATTTCCTTTGGAGCTAGAATCACTTCATGAATGTTAGAGACTGTCRTAAATATTCTCTGTGCTACTTAACATTATAATTCACTCGTTCAGGATTTACTGAAAAAGATCAGGCTATTAATAGTGCATTTTCAAATAACTAAAATTATATTATTCTCAAAACCACTTGGCAATCTCATTAATATCTTAACATTTTTGGTATAAGTCTTACTCTCGTGACTGAGTGAGCCATCTAATCACAGACTGTGCCTCTACTCACCCATCTTCATGACCATCCATAGTAGTAGGCGGCTACTAACTATTCAGTCTCTTTTTAATATTTTAGAATCATCATTTGTGTACTGTGGATACACAGATGGCTTTGTCCCCTAAAAGCCTGCAGTTCATTACACASTCTTGGGTAGTATTGATGAGAAAAAGCTTTTTATGAACTTTCATTCAAGGGTTCAGCATATTTACTAAGCTGTTACTATGTGCCAGGCTGTGTACCCAATGGCAAGGATGAAATCATTGAAAAAAAGCACTAAGTAAAAAGCTCCTTCCCTTGTTTAGTTAGAATTTACAGTAATCAAATTAAACAAACTGGAAATTACAATTTTAACAAGAGCTATGAGGTTCACAGAAACTGCCAACAAAGTCTGGGTCTGACCTAGTTAAGAGGTGAAGAACTTGTTTTCAGAGTGTCAGAAACTTCCCTGCTACGGAGCAAGAATAGAAAAAGATGGGAAGAATGGTCCTGCAGACCAAAGAAGAGCCTGGGCCCAGGAGACAAAACCAAGGAAGGCAAGTAGAAAAGACAGAAGACCAGGGAAACCTGAGCACAGGAGGCCAGGGCCAGATGAGGCTGGAGCAGTGGGGAACCCAGGTGAGACCTCTGGGAATCACCAGAGGCCTCCTCATGAAGGTGTACTGTCTTCATCCTGCTGAAGTAGTTGAGCAGACTTGATTTTAGAAAGACTACTTCAGTCAGTAAATGCAGGTGTTTTAGGGCAATTCAGCTTCCATTGCAGAGGTCTAGGAGAGAGATGAGAGCAGCTTAAACTTACACACATGAGACTTGCGTCATGGACAGCAGTCCATCAGGAGATAAAAACCATTTGCATATCCACAGTAAACAAATGATGATTCTAAAATATTTGAATAGAGCCTGAGTAGTTCAAACACTCATGCTAATTTCATTATCCAATCCTCAGTACAAAGATAATAAAAGAATTCTACACCTGTCAACCTGAAGCATAAAAAAATTTACATATCTAAATCAAAATTTTCCTCAATTGAAAACTTTTCACTTCTTGCTACAGGACTACCAAACTTTAATATGCTAATCCTTACACCAATCAATGTTTTCATTTTGTCATGAGACCAGGTTGACATGTCAGTGTTGGGGTCTTTGAGTATTCTCCCTAGCCCACTATGGTTTCAGCAGTCAAACTCCAAAGATGCCTGGGAACAGGACAAAGCAGCAGAGTGTGTCTTAGCCCAATACTCATTTGTAGGAGGTTGTGCAGCCAGAGCCAGTGGATAATAAGGGCTTCAGGGTCATTCTCTGCCACTCGGGCCTGTGTTGCACACTCTAAATCAGCCCACTCCTATCATGCTTAGCTTCCCTTCTCTTCATGCTTCCTTTCCAATCAGTTGCTCAAATACTGTCACAAATACAATTGCTGTTTTTTTGTACACTTAAAAGATATTTTTATAAATGTCTTTTTGGCTAAGAGTAAGTATAAGAATCTGTATTTTAGTCTAAAAGAGAAGGATTGAAAGGGAGAGGAGGGAGAAATTAAAACTGAGATCCAGAGAAGAAATAAAAGAGTAAGAAAGGCAGTTCCCAAAGTTCTGGTGAGATTTATTTTGTAGTACTGGGGATTGAACCCAGGGCTTCGTACTTCCTAGGCAAGTGCTCTTCCACTGAGCTACATTCCATTTCTGTTGAGATTATTTTTGCCATCTCAGAACTCTAGTGGGCTTGAAGATGAGTGTGTAGGTCTATTTCTTCGTTGCCATGAGCTCAGTGACCCTGAGCAAATCACCATCTCTCTGTGTCTTCTTTTCCTCCCCTTCATAGAAGTTAAACATATCTGTGAAGGAATAGTTAGCTCAGAGTGGGCTTTCCTTAAATTTTAGCAAATTTTAAAAATATCTAAGATCTAAAAATGATAATGCCCTAACCACTCTAGCTTCACCTCGACTCCAAGCCTAACTGTAATCACATCAGTCCATGAGGGGAGCTTGCACTATGCCAGTTAGATGCCTGAGAAACCTTCCCTGACCCCTAGCAGGACTAGGCTCTTAGTTTTCATTTTCCACACCAGCTAACAGGCTGGCTCCCTAAGATGGTTCCCCAGCATCTAGTTCTCAAATTTCTACTATATCTCTGACACTGTAATACAGAAATAATCGAAACGAAATGCTCTCAGATCAGAAACTTTTCTATATAAATTAAAAGAGTTCACACTAAAATCACAAAGTTTCCATTGCTAATGACACATTTACATTACTTAAATATTACAAAAATCTCAGATGACACAATTTTTCTTAAAGTAGTATGCTTAACTTTTTGAATGTCATGAACCTAATGGCTTTAAAACTATTTCTTATTTTGAGACATACTTAGTACTAACTTATCTTCATAAGTTATAGGGCTCCTTAATTTTCAGTAAAATAAAAAAAAACCCCGAAGGCTGTTGCCAAATAGTTGCTTCTTTTACACTAATAAACTTTTTTTGTATTAATTATTGTCTCAAATCCTTAGTGAAACACAGCAAGATAATAAGTAGTTGAGTATCCTAGCAAAATTACTGCATAGGTTACAGTTAAACCTTCCAAAACAAAGTTGTACTACAAGAACAAAGTATAAAACTTTATTATCTTTCTGGGGTTTATAAGGCTAATATCTGAAAAACTAAGTTAAAAACCAACCTATTTTAGGTTTGATCAATAGAAAAAAGGTATGACTTTGATCATTGTTTCTTAAGAGAAGTAATCCAAGAGCAAATTTATCCCTGGGACTCTGCCACCCACAGGACACCTGTCAATCTTGGCAATGGCCTTTAACTACCCATATAGAGACTCATGTCCCTCTCTTGACCAAATTAGGTGAACCTCATCTGCATTGACATCAGTGTCTATAATTTTGGAATCCAATGGACAGAAATAGCCTATCACAGAGTTCTTTATACAAATATAGTGTCTGTAGAAAATTATAACTAAATTTATGATAAAAAATGTGAACACTATAGTAAAAACCCCCAACTGTACTTTTATCACTTTGATTCTAGGCCATTTGAATAATAAATAAATCACAGTAAAAGTCTGTGTTTGTTTCTTTTATTAAAAAACCAGGGTTTGTAATTTTTCAAACAGTATGAATTTCAAGAACTATAAAACTGAGGAAAAAGCAAAGCTTCTTTAACCAAAAAAAAAAACCAAACAAAAAAACAATTTAAAGATATGGTAACCAGAGCTGTGAATTAAGATTTCTGGTATATATTACAGTATCCCAATACTTGAGGGAAACAGGTATGCGATTCCTCCTGGGAAGCAATAAAACACCTAGACATTTCATAAGTATTCAAGTCTTCTGATCCAGAAAAACATCAACCTATGATATCAAGGGACTTACAAGATCTGCTTGTTAAACCTCTGCTCATAATATCTTAAAAACTATAAAAAAATGTCATAAAACACACTGGAAAATATTGACACTATTTCCAAAAGGAAAAATACAATCGTGTAAAGCCCATAACTGCAGAGGTTGAACATAGAAAAGGAACACACAATGGTGTACTCTAAGTCACAGGCTTGTTATCATGCTTAAGAACAAAAAAAAGAGCAATGTGAGCCCCAACCAATACCAAGAGATAAGTACCTAATGTCCAACTAGTAGAACAATCTGGAGTTAACTAACAGAATTTTTCTTTTGATCTGTCCTGATCCACAGTTTATTCACCAACATGGAGTTTAGACAAAAGTATATCAAATATACATACAAAATATAAAGGATAAATCAGCATGCTGAATTAAAAAATTAACTTAAAAGCTTTTGTCTACATTTTGACATAAATAAATTGTGTATGCATAGAAAAACAGAAATGGGTTTYAAAATTTGAAGTTTTTGTTGTTGTTTATTTGGATTTTTAAAAAATTTTTAGTTGTAGATGGACACAATTTTTATTTATTTTTATGTGGTGCTGAGGATTGAACCCAGGATAGGCAAGCGCTCTACCACTAAGCTATAACCCCAACCCCTCTTTGCTTGTTTTTTAAGAGACAGGGTTTGTAATGCCCAGCTAGCTCAGTTCAAAGGCCTTAAGACTCTTAAGAGGCACAGTTTTGCTATGTTGCCCTGGCTGGCTTTGAAGTCCTGAGCTCAGGGGATCTTCCTATAGTAGCTGGGACTATAGGCACACATTACCACACCTGGCTAAATTGTTAAGGTTTTTTAATTTCTTAAAAAAAAAAAAAAGCCAGCATGTTTAAATTCTAGGTCAATAAGAGACAATTGGTGAAGGTAATCTTAGAAGGCACTGAAAGTCAGTTAAGTATTCAAGCCAAGGATGCACTACTGTCCTTAATACCCGCTACATTTACAACACTGAATTCAGTTCTGAACAGTACTATTGAAGATGCATATATACTGAACATTTTA